ACGTGCAGCTATCTATCAAGCGGTTGTTGACACGATGCCAGCAAGGAACTCATCCAGAAATGCTCGTCCAATGCCCTGCCGGTTGAAGGCTTTTCGCAGGTTTTTGGCGCTTCAGCTTCGTAATTTCGTCATTTCCCCCACTACAGTGCATCCCTGCAAAAATTTTTGAGCAAGTACCAATTATTGTTCATTAGGACTTTAACTGCCCAAATAAACAAGCACGCGACTTTCAGTGTCTTTTTTCGCGATACCTCTTGAGGTTGTGATTTTGCATTATCTTGAAGGCGAGGTTCTAACTTCTGAGAAGGAAGCCTTGAAATGGTATCAACCAAAGCGACTATTGCTACTGCAATTACAAGTTAGGGTTCATTCGCATGTGCCCCATCTAGGTGTTTTGCAGAGAAATATACCCAAAATCCTAGAGGGAGAGCCCCTGGCTGCGCACTTCATTTAAGCGTGCGCAGCTGCGCTTTCGGAGGGACATTGCAGTCTCAGAATAGTGGCAAGCATAACTTTGTCCAGTACAAGATGGGACAACGCATGTGTCATATGAAAATATTTCCCGAGCAGCGCATCCTACGTCATGTCCAGGTGAAGTACGCAGCCACGCCCACCCCATTTTCGGAGTGTGAGGTGTATCAAAGGAGCCGTTTTGCTGGAATCGTCACGAAAATTCCAATCAAAATCTGACCCGTTTCACCATGCGCGGAGCAATCAAAAAACTTTTGCATTTCGCAATACCTTTGCAATGAGACTTTTTCACTATCTATTTGCGTCTAAAGGTGACGATTTTTTTTGAATGAAAGCTTGAGATTGTCGATAACACGTGAGTAGGAATTGTAGTTTGTAGCCTGTTGTTTGTCGCACCTGGCTGTGATCGCTCTTCTGTGGTGGGGTGTTCGGTCACTAGAAGTTGTCGCAAAAATAATTGCGATTTTTTTTCACCTATTGATTCAAACTTCATCAGTCGATTTGAACCGAATCGAAGGAGCAGTCCTCGATGACCTGCGAAGATGTAAAAGAAGGAGGGGTAGTGTGAACTACTAGGGACAATCTTGTGCCAGTTTTGCGGCGAAAAGTCGTACGGCAAAGGATTTGAGGCGCAGAGTTGCTCCAGTGACATCTCCTTTTTCTGACTCCGCCTCTCAGACTCCGCCTTCAAGGTCTGCCTTCCAGTCAAAAGCATGCAACTGGACAAGTAGCATGAAAAGGATGCTCCATTATCTCTTGTGAAGTCCTAGGGTTCATTGCAAGGAGTCAGCCGACTAGATTATCCCCATTACGCGACACTTTGACCTCTTACCCGTCACACGTTTTGATGCGAGAGGGGCTTTATCAAGGATGTTGCTGACGTTGCCTTTAGCATTTTCTCTTCACAGACGAGTCACGTGACGACTTCTATTCCATATTTCAACACATTACCTACGCTTCTTATCGCGGACCGTGCCCTTAAACAGAAAAAAAATTGAGGCACAATTGCCAATATATTGGTGGGCTGTTTGGCTTAGGGGTGACCATTTCGCACGTTCACTGGTTCCTTTTGTTAGTTAACTAACAAGTCTCAACCTGTCAACTCTTGAGGGGTGCAATTGCGCCGCCTTGGTTTTGAGTGCAAGAATTTACAGGTATTTACAAGGAAGGAAACATCGCTGGTGCCCCCACCAAGTCCAACTGCTCCAGCATAAATTACGGAAATGACGAACTGAGGGAAGGGTTTTCGGTCTCATCTTCTTTTTTTGCATATGTGCTGGTAATTTTTGAACTTCGAGTGCCTTGAAAGGACGTCGCTTCGAAGGATAAAGTGGAGAAGACTGCTGCAGAGCAAGGGACTTTTGTTTAACGTGCGTCAATTTTTGATGGGTAGGTTCTAAACTACGGGGTTTTGATAATACTGAAGCATTACTAAATCGCTGCTAATGATTGCTGGGCGGATTTTTGGCAAAATTTGGTGCCTAAATCCCTGACCAGAGGAATGGCGACCAGCTGAGACTGTTTGACCCAAGCCTTTATACCTGTAGCCGTTGAAAGGTAGACCTAAGCTGTACCTTGTATCATCCCACCATTGCACACTAATCATCCTATTTTTCGGAGTACAGGGCGCACCCTGAAAAGCACACCTTCGCTTCAGCTCAATTTCAACTTTTGCGCATTTTGCATTCTTCTGTTACACAGATGACCCTGCCTTTTGAGAGAAGCTATTTGAAAATCAAATGGGAAGATTGATTTAGCCGCAACAAAAAATAGCGAAAACTGATCGCTTGTGTGTGTAGACCACTTGCGGGCGTCTCCTCGCGTTGCGACTCTGCGAAACTGCTGCCCTTGCTACTCACAGAAAGGGAACTTTTCACTCCCTTCCATTATTTAGAAAAATCGAAAAGACTCTCCGTTCTAGCACTAGGAACAAACTACAAAAAGGGGCTACAGCAGCAAGCAGGCAAGTCGTTTCACAACAGTTCAGAAAATGCAGACGGCACTCACGTCTACATTTTCTTGAACTCCAGTTTTCTCCATGTGTCTCATAACTGCTTTACTCAGCATGACACTGCATGAATGGGAGAAACAGTGGTGTCAGCCTGCCACCACATTACTTCATTCCCCAAACTCACTAATATGATTCAGCCGCTCACACGACTCTCTATACGCTCCTAACTGAAGATCTCGGTACCAATTCATATCGAGATGAGCCAATGGGCAGCCGCTAGAGCCCATATATGGATATATCCGTTTTGATTGAATATTATTCAAAGCCAATATCCTCTCTGATGAGTTTCGCACGACGACGCTGGTGGAGCATTACCTAAATCTTGATCTTCCCTAAACGTTCGAGTCTTGCTCCGAGAGTCACTTCTACGCTGCCTTTAAAGGCTCGTTTCGAACGACAAACTGCAGGCACAACCACGTTGATGTGAACAAGTAAACCTCACCTATTTTGCGCAACGTCACTCTACCGAGCGAGTTCTCTCTCCGAATAATACACGTTGCCACCTGACTAGAAACCAGCTACGAGCGAGAAGTCTATATACGACAATGAGAAGCATACAACGTTTCTCTGGAGTTTTGTATCCGCCCAACTGGGTTTATCATAGGGAGGACGGATAGGTTGGCTCACTCAACCAGCCTACTCTCACCAACTGTGGGAAGCATGCCAAGCGCCACCATGATTGGTGGAACACTTGCTAGCGCCCCGCCTCAAAGCCAACTCCCTGCCTCACCCTTTAAACACCCCGGCTCTTCCGAAGTTAGAACAAGATTAAATAGGCGCGAAAAATCATGATTTTTTCACGCATGACTCAGCAAATGCCTTTGACGTCAACGTTTTGAATTTTGAGAAAAGTTGTGAGAATAAAAGTATAAAATTGAAATAGAATACGGTATGATAGATAGACAGATAGATTAGACTAGATAGATAGATAGATAGAATAGAACAGATACAGCTGCGGAAAGAAAAACTTAAATTGCGTCTTCAACAGTTTTGAAGCTCTTATTCAACAAACAATACGAGGAAAGGTGGACTGTTAGCGGGAATCCAACAAGAAAAACTATTGAGCGCTCTGGATTTGGTTTGCCTACTACTGGACTTGATAAGAGCCTTCATTATTTTGGAATCGACTCTACAGGAACGCCTGGGGTATCCACAGTTTACATACAAATTCCCTAGATTGCATGAATGCTCACTCGTGTATCCTGTAATCTTCCTGTCAGGAGACCTTAATTCACGTTACTTCGTTGTTAAGCTCATTGGTCCAATTTGACTGATTTGAAAACAGTTAGGCATAATTTATTATATCACAATATATCAGTACGTGCAAGTCGAGAATATCACGTAACTATTTCCATAGAAAAAAAACCGGAATGTTTTGGCTTGTTTCCAGTATTTTTTCCGCCAGCACAGAGTAGATCGAAGATGTACTAATCGCTCTCCACCCCACTGCAGTTTTGACAGAGATATATTGACACCACTACCTTTTGTGACAGGGGAGTCTCAGCTAGTGAAGAGGTGAGAGGAGGGGTCGCATTCCGCCGCATTCCCCTCATCAGTAGGAAGTTAGATCTCGAGCTGTGGGACCACCGTGAGCACTGTGAATGCGTGTTGAATTTTCATTACGTTGATTGCTTTACATATAGTTAAATGATCTATTGGGTCCAGATCGATGAATCGCCCACAACATCTCTAACCTTTGGGAATCATTTATGTTTTCTTTCTTTTCGTGGCCGCCTTAACTCCTTTGATACTGAATAAAAAGTTTCTTCGAAAAAAATCTCGTAATTCCTTGATCTCGTCCCTTGCAAACAAGTATTCCCATCTGCTCTCTTGCGCTACTTCTGTTTCAGAATTTATTTGAGACTGACTGTTCCAAACGTTATTGATCCAAACTGTTCACGTTTTGAATGTCTTCGAGTCTTCAGAAAATTTCCATGGTCTCACACGCTTCAGAAATGTGGGCCTTATTCCCAGGAGCGATCGCACTGCTGGGATCGGTGTTTCTTCTGATTATTCGGAATCGAACAAAGAAAGCCGTCACTGCACCACCGAACATCTCTCTGGAGAAGCAGTCAATTCCAGTAAAGGTATGAATGTGCAATTGCAATCACTTTCCTTCAGAAAGCCCCACGAAATTTCCGAACGCCTCTTGGCTTATAGGACGGGATATGATTGCGAGAACTCCTTTTTTCCTTTTGAACGTGCAATCTCTGATACTTCGAGCATTATTAAGAGCTACTTGAACGTTCAAAGTATAAGAGAAGACACTGGCGTACAAACTGCAGCACATACTCTCTTCGTACTTGAGAAACTAGAGTATTTGTTTGAAATCGAGAAAGGCGGAAAAAAGCAAAAGTATTAATAGTGTTCCTTTAACTGCCAGTGAGTTCAGGGTGAACCAAGGGGTCTACAAGAGTGGCCTGTTACCGTCAGACGACCAACTGGTTTTGGAGAACATCTTTCCAGGAGTGCAGACCCTGTGGGATCTATTCAACAGAGGACTCAAGGTAAGTATTTGCACCGTTCACGACGTAGTTAAGAATATTTTTCACTTTGCTTTTTTTCGTTAGCACTTCACTACTGCCACCAAACTGTAATCAGGCTTATTACAAAAATCAGTAAAGAGTAAAGCCAAGATTTCAGTTTCTATCCCATCATTTTGGTACAGCGTCAGTTGGCATACTGCATACTGTAGATCAGGCATGAATGGAGCATTCCGCTTACCTGAAGCAACTTTGAATTTTTCTCTGATAGGTTCGTCTAGCTGTGGGATAAAAGGCGTGCACTCCTTGAACTAGAATCCTATTTAGGTCGCATCTTCCTACATATTTATTCACTACAAGACACCTGAGTAGTGGCATTCATTCCTCTCGTGGAAATTATGTCTCTGCCTTTGCGTCTTCAGCTTCACGAGGAACTTATTCGCCACAATCGACTGTTACTATTACAAAATGATAAAAAAACTCTCTCACGTGGGACTACCTTCGTAATCCCTATAGCATTACGCTTTGAAACCCGCCATAAATGCTCCGGACGAGCAGTCATCGAGAGACGGTAAGAGAATACGCAATTGCCGCACGCCAGCGCAGGCGATGGGGCGGCGTTTTCATAACTCGTTTTAACCTGTCGAATGGAAGCACCGGACTTCATGTAGACCCCGTCATCGTAGACACTCATTACTGTTTTCGGTCCTTAATTGCATGTTGTCGCCATCTACTGCCTGAAACCATCGTCCTTTGCGGGCGAGACGTCGCACGCGACGCCCAGCAGCGCGGCAAATTACGATCCTCTTGTCACATACCCGCATGTTCAGTCACCCCTTTGGAAGTGCCACTTTGCTTACCGCATGTTTTTGCTCCTTTTGATGGTTTGACCATGCGCTTTAGGGTTCCTCAACAGGACCATAAGAAAGGTTGAAGTCGTCATGTAATCCTCTGGGCATTAGATTCGGCATCTGCATCATCTTCTCTGCTGAAAAACATTCCCCATTAGCCTAGGAGTCCAAGTACCTCCCATGGCTGATAACCTGCTCACCAACAGCGAAGCCCGTCTCGCAAACACGCTGGCTGTTAGACTTCATCAATTTGCGTCTTTTAGTCGTGGAGTGCTCTTTCGAGCGTTGTTTCTGGGATGTTGCTAGGAGTAGATAAAACGAGAGTCCATTTTTAGGTTTGATTAGCGTTTTGTGGGTCTTTTGGGCAAGCGCTTAGCCTTGCACAGAGAGTCAATGTACAGGCACATCTGTCAGCAGCATGCTCTACCCATGTGTCGCTGCTACAGACCAGAGGAATTTCTCATCGCATCTTCTGGTAGAGCATTCAGAGGAAGGAAAGTAAGGGAGAGGGGTGAGAGAAGGAAGGAAGAAAAAGATGGAGGAGAAGGGAAGAAGGAAGGAGGGCAGGAGCTTTTGCGGAGGGAGAAGGCTTCGCGGTTGACAGATATCCTGAGACCGCGGCGATATAGGCCTCGCAAGCGCGGGGTACGTACGCAGCATCCGCACCAAAACTCAGCCCACCCAACATGACAGCAGCATTGCGCGTCGACTTCATCCCCAAATTAAAAAGAAATAAACAAGGGTTGAAAAAAGTCAACTCGCTTTGCGGTGCCGCGACTGGGAAGTGATGCTCCTGCGGTCCTTTCACAGCTAGTCTGTCTTCCTGGTCTCTGCCCGAAAGTGTAGCCCCTTCTTTGCTCGCTCACTGCAAAGAAGGCAGTCTCATCGAGAGCCGTTTCTGGCGCATTGTTTTGTATCATCCTCTACACGTAAATCAAGTAGCACGTTCACATTTACATTTTACTCCCCCCACCCACGATTTGCCATTTCAGGGAAAGGTAACCTCTTCCCTTGTGAACACTTGATATTTAGGAAAGTAAAGATGGTCCATGTGTGGGAACGCGAGGCTCCGATGGACAGTACCGCTTCCGAAAGTACTCCGAAGTGCGAATGGATTCGACCAGTTTCGCATCAGCTATTGTGGGCGAACTCAACATGAAACCAGGTAGCAGTCTACTGCTATGATTAATGAATTGTGCTGAGCCAGCTTGAGTTGCAGATCAAATGATAGCAATAGCAAAAATATTCGGCCATTCGAACTCCTTGATAGAAATGCTCTGGTCTAGTCCAGAATGTACCACTCGTAGCGACACGCGCGTACAGACCAGCAGAGCATTTTCTAGATGGATGACTGGACAGGCTTCATCGGAACCCACTGTCAAGGATGGCTTGCAGCATCGTTGAATCAGTGGGTTCCGCCTGCCACGTACAGCCGCGGAAAAAAAAACTTGGAACAAGCTCAAGTGGCGCGGTTTTTGATAGTTTTATCTATAAGTTTCAAATTGCACATGAAAACTTTGTTTGCTCAATGAGGTACGCCTAAAAAAGCTACTCTAAAAAAATAGAGTTGGCTGGTTAAAGTCATTGCCGGGACAGAATTTTGATGGTCACTGCAATGAGACACGCCGCTGCCACTTCGATATTGGATCCGTTTTCGAAGTTTCTAATGCTTTGGGGAGAACATGTACTTCCTGAGAGTTGTTGAATAAAGTAAAGTAAGAAGGAAGCGAACGCTCAGACAGGTGTGTTCCTTCTTCCGATGGCCAAGTGGGACCAAGACATGACAGCTAACCATGTCGCTGTGTACGCCAAAGGACATCCCAGCACTTTGAGGGTTGGCGAAAAGTGAGAAGCAATACTGCATCGAAAGCCCGAAGGGCTTTATCCATGAAACACTTTTCAGGATGCTGCATGAAGTCGAGTCGGAGTGGCTTTTGAATGTGAGTTGGCCTATGCAATGCATTCCGGGGCTGGAGTGGGAGAGGGCTGCCACTGTAGAAGTCGACGTTTCTATTTACCTAGGCGAGTCTAGTATTAATTAGCTTTCCCTGTAGGCATGAAAAGCTCGGTCGACTCAGGACGGAGCCGATTCTGGATCTGATCCACAAACCACGCTTGTGGTAAGTGGCGCCACTTGCCACTGCACTACCTCCGCTTAACCAAAATTTTAATATATAGGGTTACAACATTATATTTTTGGCTTCTGACCCCATTGCTGTTGTTCAAGAAGGCAAAACAGCTTAGGTCTCACTCCAGTGGAACCTGTGAACTCGTGAAGCTGGAGCAAGCTCGTCGAGCTACCACGGTAAAGCCTGTCAACCCTTGTAAATTCACGAGCTAGCTCTCTGGCTCGGCACGTCGATAGCAAATAGCAAAGTGCAGAATGCCCCCTCCCTCGCCGAACTGCCCGAAGAAACCATGAAAATGTCGATGCTTTTTGTTATGGGGTACGCCACGCACTCTATTCTGGCAGAGAATTTGATTGACTGATAGAAAAGCTTAGGTCTAGGGGATGACTTATGATATCTATTTTCAGGTGATCGAATTGGTATCTACGCT